AAAACAGTATAAAAATTATGTCTATGATAAAAGTAGCAGTGATTTCTAATTTTCTAAATGCAAGAAAAAAATCCTTTTTAATGGTCTATAATGTATTGTATTTAGTACTTTGCAAGTTAAACATTTTAAACTTAAAATGATTTAAAAAATTTTCTTCAATGAAATTACATTATACAATGATTATATTTAAGTGAATTTGTTTAAGAATGTAAAATCATATACTCACAGCAATTTTTCAATATGTACATAGACTCGTTTATGTTACAACTCGGAAAAATGATCGTATCATGAAGATTTCTTTAATAAAAATGCAATGATTAATGCAAAAATAAATGGAAAAACAAAGTGATATTGCAATAAGCATAATGGTAAATTTCCTTTTTACCCATACATAAAGTTTCGATATCTGTTTATAAGAATGAAAAAAGTAAATAAAATCTAAATTCTATATATGATATGCCAGAGCATGAATTATTCGGATGATGAGCATTAAGTGACTAATTACACTAAATTTGTAAACGTGGTAAAAGATAGGAATGATGTTGTAATAATATAATAAAGTTTAATAGGGTTGGATATTGCTGTAGCTCGTTGCCAATATTTTGGAAACAGCATACGACGAGCAAACAGCTGAAAGGCTTAAATGAAAATAAATGACCTAAATTTTATTTTGGAACTACCTGTTGTTATTTATGAAATGGGAGTGCGGGCGTTGCAAAACGTGCTAAATTCAGCAACAAAAATACACCCGCTGAATACAGAAGTAAGGAGAAAACGATGAGCGGGGCACGACGAAGTGGGAGTAGGAGAGAAAGGTAGGAACATCCTGTGTCGCGGACGAGACACCCCCTCCCGCCCCCACCCGCCCAACCCCGTTTACGCTCTGCTGATTTTACACCGTAACGCTGATTTCATAAACATTCCTCCTTTCCGGAGCGGTGCGCGTCTCCCCGGCACGGCCCCATGAAAATTCAAACGCCCAACGCGCCATAATTTTTATTTTCAACGTCGCGGCTCGGAGGGAAAAAGGGCCGATTGAAATTATTGCGAGGGTCCGTTCTTTATTTGCTCACTAGGAATTATGAAAATTTTGCCGAGGGTGACCAAGAACTTATGGGGGGGGGGGGGAG